GGCTTGGCCTTTCAGGCCCATCCTGGGAGGGTGCTCTGCTCAGCAGCTGGCTGCCCTGGCCAGCGGGCTCAGGTCCTCAGCTCTGCAAGCCGGCCCCCTACGTGGCCAGTCCCTGGAGAGCTCCTGCCCTCTACACGGGGACAGGGGAAAGCCCGAGAAGCGAGTGTGCTGAGGGGCCAGAGAACAGTGGACGCAGCCTGGGCGCCAGGCAGAGGGACACCAGCGCGGTGCCACCAAGCCCCGGCAGCTGCCCAGGAGTTCAGTCCAGTGAAGGAGCTAAGGTGCAGGCAGGAGTGCAGTGCAGCAGAGCCCTGTTCCGGGCGGTGGGCCTGACGCAACCGCCAACGTGCCCCTGGGCAGGAAGGGTCACCTCCCCCAGCGTCCGACCTGTGACGCCGAGCGCCAGTTGCCCAGGGAGGGGCCGTGCCCTCAGTTTCTGCACTGAGTCCTGCTGGCCCTGAACCACAGGTGGGGCTGCCTCAGAGTGTGGGCGCCTGCTAGCTCCCGCCCTGCGCGTCACAGCCGCCTCCTTCCCTGCCCCACGGCAGCCCGTACCACCCCGCTGCTGTGTGCCCAGCCCTGGGACGGCGCCCAGCGGGCAACACTGGGGCTAGGCCGGGCTCCCCGAGTGTGGAGTTACCCTTGACACTAGCATCGCGGAACCTGCAGGGACCAGGCCACTCCCGTCCAGTGCTGTGCCCACCAGGGACCCACAGAGGGAGGCTGGACTGTGCTGCAGCAGGGCTCAGCTCAGATGGGGCCCGGTGGGAGCGTCCTGCCGCTGAGCGGTCCTCCCTGTCCTCCCACCATGCCAGCCATGAGCCACCTTCCTCCTTCCCATTGTGCCCTGCAGCTGACGCCGACGCCTTCACCAGGAGCAGGACAGGCCTCCACACGGCGCAGCCTCTAGAGCATACTCCGCCGCCCTCGCCTGGCTCTTGGGCCCACCTGGCTGCGCCGCTACCTCGCCAGGGACGACTGTGTCACACCCCTCACATCACAGCTCAGTTTTTGACTGCTGCCGCCAGGCTCTAGGACTTGGATAACCGTGCCCCACTGGCCTCCCGTCACCTCCTCCTGTCTCCGCCACTGCCCAGGGCTGGCCACCATGCCGCCCGGCCACACGCCCGGACTCCACTGCACCTGCTGCCTCCGTACCCGTGCGGTGAACCTGCCTTCAGCCCTGGCCCTCCCAACCCCTTGGGGTTCTGAAACCCCTCGGCAGCGCCCAGGAGAGCAACTCCACCTCACCACCCCGGGGCTCCCGGCACCTCTGCCTCAAGCACATGTCCTGCGTCGTCGGGGGCTGCCCCCAGCCAGACAGCGTGAGCATCGGCACCTGGCCCTGCACCGAGTGGCCCAAATCGGCCTTTCTAAGCGCCCCCGAGGCCACCCACGCAAACCCACGTTTCACTCTGGAAATCCATGCCTGCGCCACAGGCTGCGCCACCACACCCCGGCACCTGGCCGCAGCTGCTGGGGGCGCCAGGCAGGCGTGCGCCATTGCTCCCTGAACCCTGGGACCGAGGCGCCACGGCGCAGGGTCTGCCTGAAGCCACACGGGCACGACGGCTGGGCACAGCCACCTTGATCCCAGGGCAGACCCGTCCTGGCCTTCCAGCTGCCCCGAGTGGCCACGGGCTCTGGTTTAGCACCTGTTTCTGGAAACTTATCCAGGGCCAAGACACAGCCACGCACTGCACAGTAGGGGACGTCCGAGGGTGCTCACAAGGACAGCGGGCAGGGCTCCGAGCCCAGCAGGAAGTGTGGGGTGCACAAGGCACTGCCCGCTCCGCACGGTGGACACGGTGCTGGGTCGAGACCAGGCAGGCCTCTGCGCTCTGGGGGGCCAATGGCCATGGAGTGTTCTCAAAAACACAAGCGAGGCATCGCGGGAAGCCTGCCTGTGTTTAACGGAACGTTGCAGCTACAGAGAGCTGGAGAGGTGTACACACGGCCAACCTCACGTCTCGGGGGACGGGAGCACGCCTGTCTTCACTGCGCGTGAAGCAAGAGAGCCCAGAGCCCTTACCACGGCCGGTGTTGACGGTGGTGGGGCTGAACGCCTTCCACACGATGGTCTCGCAGATGTTGGTGGCGATGAAGAGGGAGATCCCGGAGCCCAGGCCGTAGCCCTTCTGCAGGAGCTCGTCCAGCAGCAGGACGCCCCCCCCAGCCACGAAGAGCTGTGGGGCGGGAGCCGGGGGCCTGGTCACCGCCCGCCCGCGCACACGGTGCCCCCACGCTGGCTCTCGGCCGTCCTGCAGCCGGTACCTGGATGGTGATGAGCAGGCAGATGCCGGCGCCCATCTCGGAGGGGTCCCCGTACATCCCGGTCATCACGTACACAATGGACTGGCCGATGGTGATGATCATGCCGAACACTGGGGGTCGGAGCACAGCAGCCGCGTGAGACGGGACCGCCTGGGACAGCGCGGACCGACTCGGCGCCCCACCCCGCCTGGCCAGGACACCCCTCGGGCACCCGGCACCGACAGGTCAGACGCGTCTCGGCAGGGGCTCGCTTGCTGGGTCGTGCTTCTCTGTCGGTGACAGGACCGAGAACCGCAGACGGCAAAGCCCCCCTATAAGAGGTCAGCCCTAGAGAACCCGCCGTCCGCTGACCACGACGTGCAGTCAGGCGAGGCCAGCAGCCACGGCGCCCGGGCTCGGGCTCGGACAGCCTGGACTGGCGGGGCAGGAGCCAAGTTTCACGGGGAGTGGGGTGGGGGCGGACAGGCTGGCCTCAGGGCCTCAGTCCAGGACACAGATAGGACCCACGGGGAGCACATCTGTAAGGGGAGATCCGGCCAGCTGGACCCATGGCCATTAAGGCGGATGGATCCCACACGGCCTACCGCAGGTTCGAGTCTTGGACCTGGCACTTCAAAACACAGCAGGGTGTGCGTGTGTGTCCAAGATTCTGAGAGGAGACTGGAGAAGGGATTGTGGCATGTCCACCCGCCAAGAAATTTCTCACTTTCCCTCTTTCTCTCTGGAAAGTACACATACTCTATACTAACAGTCTTTTTAAAAGGAAGGCAGGGGCCAGCAGGGGGTGTGGTGGTTAAGGGCGCTGGACTCCCACATGGCTGACTGTGGTTCAAGTCCCAAACCTGGCAGCTTGCTTTCTCATCTGCCCCCCCCTCTCTCACTCTGTCCCTCTCTGGTCAAATTAAAATAAATACATAAATAAAGTTAAATAAAATAATTTTAAAAAATTATTTCCTTTATCTTATTTATCATTATAGTTTTCAATTTGACCAGAGCGACAGAGAGAGAGAGAGAGAGAGAGAGAGAGAAAGGCACCAGGTCCAGGACTTGAACCATGCTCAGCCATGTGGGAGTCCAGCAACCCTAACCACCATGCCACCTGCCAACCTCAAATAAAATAATTCCAAAAAAAAAAAAAAAGAGGGCAGGCCATGGCAACGTCACCAGTCTGTGGTCACTGCCCCTGCGTCCTGGCCTACCAAGTTTCTTGGGCAGTAAAGGTCGCGTTTGGGACCCACGTGTCTCTCACGGCTCCCACCATTGGGCCCAAGAGAGTGGACACAGCCTCCCGTCACACACGCCTGGGGGATCCCGTGCTCAGAAGAGCCCGGGCCTCAGTGTCAGCTCCTGTCCGTCACTAACACTTCACCCACGCGTCCATCAAAGATAGGCCCCAGCTGGCTCTTTGAGAAGTGCTCACGACACAGTACGGGGGGCACGGCACGTTTAAACCAGTCGTCGCCTCCTGCTCAGTGGCCGAGCCTACGAGCGCAGAGACGTGTGGGCACGAGTAAGCAGCTGGCTGGCGAGGACCGGCTACCGGCCCTTCCTGATGGGTGCAGTCCAGACAGAGCCCCATGGCCAAGCCTGTCGATGGGCCGAGCCGCGTTACCGCTTACCGGCAGAGGCCAGCCCAGCCATCACACCACACCCGTGTTTCAGAGGACTGTGACGTGGGACTGTCCTGACTCCCCAGAGCACACCGCCGGAGCCGCAGGATAGACTCAGAGCATCACCTTTCTCCTCGGTCAAATCCTTCTAAACTCCCAAGACAGAGAAACCCACTTGCCAGGACCCAGCGGATGGTGTAATGGCTAGGTCACGGACTTCCGTGTAGTTGACCGCGGTTCGACTCTTGGAACCGGAGGCTTAAAATGGAAACGAGGCGTGTGTGCCCCAGATCCCAGGAGAATGGGGAAGGGGCTGCAGAGTGGCCATTCCCCCAGGGAATGAGTTACGGTTCTCAATCTGTCTCTCTGGCGAATGCACATGCCCTATAGCAAAAATCTCCCTTAAAAAATAAAGAAACCCACTTGCCAAATACCTACCAGGCGCTGGCTGTGCTATGGCCATCCAACTAGATCCTCGCGATCCGAGGCAGATGTCCCTGCCGACTCACTCCTCGCTCAGCACCCCAGCACCCGCCCCGTACCCTCCAGGCGGCTCCCTCACACTAACTCGGGCCCCAGAACACTGCAGGGTAGGCGGACACGGAGGCCACAGCTAGGAGAGCCCGTCCCTGACGGCCCAGGCATCGCACCGACCCAAGCCCTTGAGGGCAGACCCCGTGGTGCCAGACGCCCTTGCTTACACTTCTGGGCTCCGTTGAAGAGGGCTCGGTCCTTCGGGGTGTCGCCCACCTCGATTATCTTGGCGCCGGCCAGGAGCTGCATGATGAGGCCGGAGGTGACGATGGGGGAGATGCCCAGCTCCATCAGTGTGCCTTGATGGGGGGACGCAGCGTTAGCATGGGAGGCGGGGGTGACAGCGACACCCGACGGGGCCCGTGGACCCAACGTGTCTCAGTGTCCCCAACTGGTTAATCTGGGAAGTAACCCTGACACGTCAACACCATGGCACGCTCAGCCAACCCCGTCGGCGCGACAGGCCACACTGCCTGCCTCCCGTGTGGGCGGCACCGCGTCGGAGCAGACCACACCTTTACACTCGCCCGGGGACACGTGCTATGGTTTCAGAGATAAGGAAGCTGGGTCTCTTCCTTGGCGAACAAACAGGGGCGACATCTGCGTAATTTCCAGAGTCTGGAGAGGGGCTGCACAATCGTAGCTGGCTGTGAGTACACCTCTGCTTCCCGTTATGCAAAAGGACCGGGACTTCCCACGGACTTGGAGCTTATTCTGAACTGCGTCTTTAAGACGAGCTTGTCAAATGTAGCTGTCAACAAACACATCTGTGACCCTCCCGCCTGCCGTGGGTAACTGGTGCCCCCACACGACACACCATCACGAATCCCTTCACACACACACACCCTGTGGATACGAAGAGGTGCAGCTGAGAACAAGTCACACTGCACAGAATGCTACCGATAGAGATCGCCTCTCGGGATTTCGAGCGCTCTCGTCTCCCCGACTTCCCGCCCTCTACCGCAGACTTACCTGCTCCCCCAGGATCTGTGCAGCACCCACACACAACTCCACGCCTGAGCGCCACACTCAGCCTGTGACGGGCTACACTTCCCGCTAGTGTCGGCATCCCCTTCCCAGCCGCACACCTCCACGCTGAGCCCCACGGAAGGCCACGCTGCCATGTGCCCACGAGGCCAGCCACGCCTACTGCAGAAGAGGCAGAGGCCCATGCCCTACCTCTGTTGGAGGCCAGAATCACTCTCATCCAGTAGAAAGGGTCGGCCGAATCTGAAGACATGATTCCGAACAGGGGGATCTGGGAACGGCCAGAGGGAAGGAGTCACATGCCTATCGCAGGCCCCGCCAGGCCTGGCCCACCCCGGGTGGGTGCCGTGCCTACCTGGCAGCACACCAAGAAGATGAAGAGGGTGATCGCTGTCCACAGCACCTTCTCCTTGAACTGGATCTGCACGGGGGACGAGTCAGACACCGCTTATTCCACTCGCGAATCCACAGGGATGACTCCCATCAGGCCCTCTCTGTCCACCGGAGAAGCCACACCTCGGACCTGCCTGGCGCTGTGCTGACAACGCACGCACGACAGCATGGCGCCTCTCACCACAGCAAAGCGCTTCTGGGAGAGGCCACGCAGCATGGCCCCAGCCTGGCCCCCAGCCCCGGCATTACCAGGTCAGACCAGAACAGAGAATGCGGTCATGGAGGACACCTGCTGCGGCAGGGAGGCCCTCGCAGTGCCGGAGTGGCTGGCCACGGTCGCAAGTCGCAAGTCCAAACTCTCACTCTTCCTCACCTGCTGAGATTGCTTGACAGTCTCTTTTCTGTCTTTTCTTTTTTAAAACATTTACTCATTTTAATTTGACCAGAGAGGTACAGAGTATAAGAGAGAAAGTGAGAAAGCAAGCTGCCAGGTCCGGGACTTGAACCGTGGTCAGCCATGTGGGAGTCCAGCTCCCTTCACCATCATGCCCCTGCTGGGACGAACCAAGGGTACGCGGTTTCAGGAGCCACACTGGGGCATCAGGATGCTGCATGATGGCCTGCTCCCGGGAGCATGGAAGAGTGTCTGCCCTCTCCAGGATGGAAGCTGGCTAGGTGACACTCGGCATCGCTAGCAGGCCCTGACCCGGGCCTCTGGCACTGAGGAGCAGAGGGAGCTCTCCGGCTCCTGCCTCTGCGCGAGGCACCCTAACTCACCCCTGCCTGTCCTTGAGAACTAGGGCTCCAGGGGCTCAGCAAACACGCCCGCAGGCCTGCGCAGGCCGGGGGTGGCAGTGCGAGTGTGTGCCTCATCTGGGAGACGTGGCCAGTGAGCGCTGTGTCAGTGTCTGGCTGTCGGTGCCACCGTGTGGAAGCCGAGGCCGGCCTGGTTCCTGGTGGCTTGCCCGCAGTCCAGGCACAGTGGTGACCACCGGTGTCCTTGCAGGATCATGACAGGGCGAGACCCTGTCCAAACCCTCCTCCCTCCCTCCTGTGAACGGGAGCACAGCCACCACCCTCTGGTCTCCCGTGCGGCGCTGCAGCCACACATGGTGTGCGAACCCAGGGCTTAGACGCTGCGTGAGTTCACAGGCTCCTTGCCCTGGAGGACGCTCGTGGCCCTCCTGCCTTCCTAGCCCTCAGGAAATCAGAAGCCAGCCAAGGGGAGCCAGCGCTTTACAGAACCAGCGAAATCAGTGGTACGGGGTAAAGGAACGGACGGGTTTTTAAGGCTTCTTATTTTGAAAGACCAAGCCTGCCTGGGATACGGGCCCTTTAACAGCGAAACTGCCAACGCCTCCCCAGGTCCTGCCCTTGCTGCCCCTTTAAGATGTGCACAGAACACGGGCACTGTCCAGAGCGGTCGCGGAGAGGGACACAGCAGTCCTGGGATGGCGAGCCGTCTCTTCTGCACTCTCCTGTCAGGGCACTGGGCGGCAGGCACACGCGTGTGCAGTGGGCTATGTGGGATCCAGTCGCCTTCAGGGCACTGGGCGGCACGCACACGCGTGTGCAGTGGGCTGTGCGGGATCCAGCCGCCTTCACCACCAGCCACTGGCTGGGCCTCCTCTGCCTCTTCCCGGCTCCAGCCCCGCCCTGGCTCACCCTCTGATGAGCCAGTCCTCCCTGGGACCAAAGCGACGTTCCCACCGGCCTGGCGCGTTTCCCTGGACTCCCGAGGGTCCCTGCCCGCCCTGTGCTGTCCTGGGGGCTGCCCTGGTAACCGACGGCCACCCGCTTGTC